ATATCAGACTGATTTGAGAATTAACAACCACAGAGGACGCAAATTTCCATCGTCACTAACGCTCCTTTCATTCAAAACTCGACTCGAATGGCCTCCAGTGTTGACCGCAACTGCAAGTTTTCCGAGCGTATCTTTTTAACTCCTGCAATATTCAAGATAACATCCAAGCTTTTCGGCTCACAGGGCTCCTCTGATGACAAAAACTCGCTTGGCTTTTCAGCATTTTCTTTAAGATTTGTAGCTTTTGCAGTTCAATTCTGCTTTCGCTGTAAGTTTTTGATCCACGAGAAGCGATTTTCAAGTCAAGTTTAACAGTGGCGTGATTTTCCTGGACCACTCACAATTCTTTGCAACGCATAACAACCAATGAGATTGCTTCATTTTGTATAGATAATAGATTACGTCAAATGGCTGTTTTTCGTATTCGCCAAAGTAGGCAAAGGCCAGCTTTCGAGTTATGTTGAAAGATTTTAAAACAAAAAAAGCTTTTCTGTTGTTTCTTTATTATATAAAACAAATAGATTCCATGTTGCCGTGCATCTGTGATCTATTAAAGCACAGATGCACGGCAACACGGAATCTAATTGTTAAGCTGACTGAAATGGATCATCCTGTCTCATATATCACTTGGCAGAAATCTATGCTATGTAAACTTGGTTTATGAGCTGTGTTATTCTACCTAATATTGTGTTCCAACTTCAGCCTGTTAAATTTGCATTCTTACATTTTGGTGTTATCATACTGAACTTTGTAGTATATACCCTGCTGCTGTAACAGCATCATTGCATTGATAACTTAGCAAAGACTGCATTATCTGCATATCTAAAAGACTGTTTCCTAAATTAGTAAATATTTCAGTGGATTTGGTGCAAAAAAACTGCGTTCCCAATAAAAGCACTGTTATGGTAACACAAATTGTATTATCTTGATCCAATCTTCAGTTTTTGGTTAACTTTCTAGTTTAATCCGGCTGTTAAAAGAATATTGCTGATATGCGATTTTGAAAACACTGCAGAAGCTGGACTCCATTTCCTTTGCACATTCGGATTCCGTCTCAAGCCCATTTGATAATAATAGTAATAATTTAATAAATGGTCGAGAGAGCAACAAACAAGTCGCAATTTCAGAAAAATCACGATATTTTTTAACCTGTAATAAGTTTTGATGTGACTCACATCTTCGTCAGTTACAAAAGCTAAGGTATTTCAACATATTGCCCACTTTGGCAAACACGAAAATAGCAATTTGACGTAATCTGTTGTCTATACAAAATGAAGCAATCTCATTGGTTGCTATGCGTTTCAAAGAATTGTGATTGGTCCAGAAAAATGCGTCACTGCCAAACTTGAGAACCGTCACTTCTCGTGGAATGAAAACTTACAGCGAAAGCGGAATTGAACTGCGAAATCGACAAATGAATACCTCAGCAGAAGATTCAACTCACAATTAAACTCCCTCAACTTATGTTTTCAAGTGTAAAATAGAATGGAAACAAGAAATAACTACTACATACATGATACTTTGACGTGATCTGGGCTCTCTCAGATCCTTGGATTGCGCAATTGTTATCTATACGGTTACTTCGACCCGGCGAGTTTTAAAGAGAATATCCATTGCCATCCCGCTTTTATGGTCACAGATGTTGGCAACTTGTCGGCATCGCTACTCAAAAGGCCGCCAAAAATCCACAGACAGCCATCACTGCTGCTACAACATACAGATGTCTATCGAGACCCGCCACAAAACAACCCGCCGAACACTCCGCCATTTTTGCCGAGTTGAGCCGACGCCATTATTGCCGGAAAAGTAAGCGGTTCAGTAACTACGTCATTTATGGTAATACAAATTGTACCACAAATATCGTCAAAGATGGCGGCATGTTTTGTGGTGGTTTTTGAAAGAAGTCGATATGTTACAGCAGTAGTGATGGCTTTCCCTGGATTTTAAACGGCCATTCGAGTAGCTTTTTAGACAACCTGTTGATATCTCTAGAGATGAAAGTGGAATGGTAATGGTAATGTTTCTGTTACTTGAAAACGTGCGTCAAAGTTAACGGAAAAATGGACACAAAACTAAACATTTTGAAAGGGCATCAAAATCCAAGAATCAAAGAGAGGGCAAAATCGCGTCTAAGTAACCTGTATGTAGTAGTTATTTCTTGCTTTTATTCTATTTTACACCTGAAAGCGTAAGTTGAGGGAACTTGTGAGTTGAATCTTGTGCTGCAGTATTTAAATCAGTATGTCTCAAGATATAGCCCCGAAAATATTTGAAAGTAGTGTCTCAAGTGCTTCTGTTCGCCGATTTTTACTCGCAATCGATAGGAAAATGCTTAGCTAGATATTTCTTGTTGATTTCGAGTTATAATAAGACAGAGAAATGGCGTTGGTGCTTTAGTGGATGTTCATCAAATGGCCATAAATCGTAAAGTTCCAGGTAAAAAGTACGCTAACACAGAAAAAATATTGAAGTCACCAAACACTTTTTTGGCTTTTTTGAGAACTCTATTGATTGCTCTCACTATCTATGTTAGAATAATGTGTATTTGGTTTTGCCCATTGCAGATATTTGCCATCAGTTAAAGGCTATTCATAACACTACGAAATATGCACCTTACTTATGATGAAGCCTCGGAGAGAAATCAAATTGCCCAGTTGAAATGAATATCTGTGCTTTTAGACTGATAGTTGTCAAACATGATCCAATGTATTTCATTTTCACATGGTTTTTCTTGTTCTAGAAATAATACACCAAAGATGGCTAGTTAAATACGTATAAATTGGTGCCAAATGGCCATTTTTGCAAAGTGACCCCCTAACTTGATCATGAAGGGAATAAAATATTTTAACCTACTTTTTAGCCAAAAACATTTTCTCACCAGACCCAACATCTGTGCCAAGTTTGAGCGAAATCGGTGATTTGAGCTGTATCACCTCTGCCTGATTCTACCTGGTTTTCTCATGGACACACTCTAAGCTACCAATAATATAGTGAAAGAATTACTCGATTCTAATTGGCTGAGAGCAGTGCAGTTCAAGTGTAACACCAGTACAAAAAGTGTAACACCAGTGCAAATTACACATCGTAATTCTGGATTATGATTGGCTGAAAGACAATGGGAAATTTTCGAAGCCAATGTTATTACGTAAAACGATAAGGAAAATTTTGGGCGGAAACTTTGAAAAAAGTTTTCTCGAATGAGAAAAAATGGCTTCAAGAAAGATCTTCCGGCACTTCCTCCACGCAAATTTTTTCACGTTTCTATTATTAATAAGTAATTATACGGTTTTTCTCGTTCAATTTGGAATTAATTTGCACTTGTGAGTTTTTCAAAATGCTGAAATTGCATTCACCGAAGCGGCTCGTGCAATTTCAACTTTTTGAAAAACTCACTCGTGCAAATAAATTCCAAATTGAACTCGACACTGTATGATTACCTATACAAATATTTCGGTAGTACAAATACAACATATTGAATTACTTTCTTGTGCCTAACGGTGCCTATTTGTCTCTTTGCAAGGGCCACAGAGAGACAGATTGTCTCCTGAGATTAGACTTTTTCGGAATATCCAGTACGTTTCTAACTTTTCAAAAAAACATCTGGATATATGTATCTAGGCCTTGAGCGACCGGTAAAGGACAAAAAGCAAATACGGAGGGCGAAAAACTTGCCTGATCAAAGGTTATTTTTATGGAGTTATATTTGTCACGGTAGTTCTTTTCTAGAGTGTTTTTCGTTCGATTTGATGGTCTTTATGGCTTTCTGTTTGTCAGGATGCCTAAGCTTCAGAGGGTTTAACTTTCACTTAAAATTTTTTTTTATGTCATCCGTGATGAAAGAACTAACAAGCTTTATTATATTCTAACCCCGCGAGAGCCTGAGGGAAAGATGAGGCAAATCCTTCATGCGCAGTACTACTCTAGATTCTAAGATCAGACAATTCCAGTACAAAACCCTAAACTATATCGTTCATACAAAGCAGAAACTTTATCGTCTCGGGAAAACCGATTTTCCTAGCTGCACTTTCTGTCAAGAAGAAGCACAGTCCAGCGAGCTTTTACTCTTTTCCTGCACAATATGGATCTTCTGAATTCTGGAAACATGTCTGTTTTACCACGGCAAAAAGACAATAACAGAGATATTAAGCATAGATCAGTTTATCATTCCGAATTTCGTAATTAGGCAAAGTTTCATATAAGAATCCGTTGCATACTCGTGAAAATATCGGATCTCAAACTTGCCAATTTTTACAAACAAAATGTATGCCAGAGGACAACGCATATTGGCCAATAGAATATGGTCAATACATTTCTTTGTAAATTTGGCAAGTTTGGGGCCCAATATTTTCAAGAGTTTGCAACGGATTCTTATGAAACTTTGCATATTTACTAAATTCAGCAAGACAAATAGAGCGGTGAGGGTTATTTTTTGTTGGAACTAAAAACTCAGGAAAGCGTTACATCGGTACAAAGGCCTATTAATCACATTTCATTACAGGTAACATTGTATTTAATGCAAGAAATGTCAAAACAGTTTACCCTAAAATTCAAGGTTTCATAGCCAGGACAAAACCTACTTATAGTATTGAGTTCCATATTACTAGGGAGATATCCAGGCTCTTAACGCACTCTCAAAAGTGAAAAAACCGCTTCGAATTGTGCAATTAACAATATTAACAATAATTTATTAGGTCGTAAGGAGGATAAGCTTTGTTTGTTGTTTTTTCGTTTGAGCTTTTTTTCAGTAGTATTATTGTTATTGTTATTACGGTATAGTTATTATGTGTAAACTTACTCTTCATTGTTTCTTTTGTATTTTTCTGCGGCTTGCTAATAAACTGTTAACAAACGAACCTGGCCATTCCATTGGCCAATATCAAGCCATCTTGACGTCATGCCCCAGTGTAACTGAGTGTCACAACAATCATCTTCTATCGATCAACATAACAAGAGATAGTTTTATTGGACTCTAAGTTGTATGTATTGAGGTTGTTGCATCTTTTAGAAACACATCATTCGCTGTTTAGCAGTCAGCCGGCAGCAACTAGAAACTTGAGGTACACCGTCAACACAAAAGGTAAGCCAGTGACTTTTCAGTTTTATTTGATTTTCCTTTCCTCGAGAAGTGGGTGCTACATGCAGTTCTTATTAAGTGTAAAGGTTACTTCGGGTGTGGTTAAATGTTTTCAATTTCAGTTTCGCAACAGTTAGCAATCTTTCCCTCTTCCTACCTCTGTGGGCTCGTTACTAATATCTCACTATAATGGCGTACTTGTGCAGGGAAGATCATACACACAACCGGGACACGAAATTTTATTTGAAACATTAGAAGTTATTTCGAAGTTTTAGGCAATCTTTTTCAAAAAGGTTTCTGTTGACCCAACTATATTGAAAAACCGCTCTAAAGGAAATAGTTAAGTTTATCCTCGTGATTGTTAAAGTATGTAAGCTCGTGGGACTGGGTATTTTAGTAGTTACAGTATTGCCTACTTAAAACTGCGGTTTAGGCCATGACAAAAACACACAAACCACCAACGTGAGTGAAGATGAACAGCATTATCACCCTTGGAGAGAAAAAGAATGAAAAGGGCAAGGCAAAGTAAGTCAAGTTCGAAAACCGAAGAAGACGTCGCTACATGTACGGAAGATAAAAACCATCATGGCTGCCCACTGTGGAGTACCAAACAACAGCAAATCGAAAAAAGTTAGATAAAATACTTCTGTTGCTGCCAGAATTTGAGCGCCAGAACGAGAAAATCGCCCATCTGGAAGTGATAGATACAATCTGAGCGGCCGATCTGTGTGGGTATTTACAAGGTACGCTGTTGTAAATTCCGATACGGATCAACACTAACATTGTATCGGACTTGTGAACTGAATAGAAACGCCATTACAAATACCGATACAGATCGAACGCGAATATTGTATTGGACTTGCGACATGAATAGAAAGAAAGAAAGAAAGAAAGAAAGAAA